TGTAGTCGTTGTAGTTTGTTTCATAAATCGCTATAAAATGGTTGTACCACTACATGTATACACATAACCTGTTTGTTATCTATCATTATGTAGGTCGAACAAAAACCCCTTGTCTGCATAACCAATCAACTCATATTTAGATTTGTTTGAGTAAAATAAACTTATATCTATTGTATCTTTAAGGTAATGAAATATATGTTTAACTCTATTCCAATGTCTTCTTGTAGGTGAAGAAATATATCTTGCTAATAAGTTAACAACAAATGATATATCAGGTCTTGTATGACAAGCAAGATACATTAGTGCTCCAATTACACTAATATAAGGTACTTCAAGACTTAATAGTTCTTCATCCTTCTCCCGATGTTTGAAAGGATCTTTGTTTACATATAGTGACCTTACAATCATTAAAGTACATAAGGGATGTGATTTATCCATATAAAATCATTTTAACACTTTTGAGGTATAAGTTTCTTGATGCATAAAAATTCCATTCTTTACATAGTCAAGTTGTAATCCAAGACAAAACTTTGTCCTTCCAAGATCCTTCATTTCAACTTCTTTCTTTAAACAATTTACTACTTTTGAAATATCTTCAAGAGTTCCAATGATATTTAAATCATCAACATAAACAAAAATTAATATAATTTCATTATAAGATTTTTTTTATAAAAATGCATGGATAAATAGGGTCATTTTTATATCATTCCTTCAACAAATATTCGCTAAGGCGATTATACCACATGCGTCCAGATTGTTTCAATCCATAAAGTAATTTATTCAACTTGATTGAATAACTTTCTCTAGAATTTGAATTGTATGCATCTGACAAATTAAAACCTTCAGGGAGTTTCATATAAATATCATTATCAAGGGAGCCATACAAATAGGCTGTAACAACATCCATTAATCACAAATCAAGTCCTCCATTTATTGCTAAACTAACTAAGTATTGAAAAGTATTTGCATCCACTACAGGTGAATATGTTTCTTCAAAATCAATGTCAGGTCTTTGCGAAAGACCTTGGGCAACAAGTTGTGCTTTATATCTCATAATTTCACCTTTTTCATTTCGTTTTCACACAAAAATTCATTTATATCTAACTCGCTTTACATCTTCAGGTGTACGAACTATAGATCCAAAAACTTAACGTTTTGTAAGCGACTTTAATTCTACCTCATTGCATCTTTCCATTTTTTCCAGTCACTTCTTTGTCTACAGTCGTTGACTGATTTTGGTTGATGATCTTCTATATCAATTATCACATCTAATGCTACGTTAAATGAAAAAAATATCATCAATATTGACTTTATTTCGGTTCCATTATATTCCATTAATGACATAATTTATTGAGATCTCTTTATTTTCATCATTTTCAAGTACCTGTATTTCTTCAAGAATTAAAATATTGATTATGTCTGGTGACTCTTCTAGAGTCTCTACATCCTCATTTTGGTTGCCTTGATTCTTAGTTCCTTTTCTTTTTTGAGGATTTTATCTTTGGAACCAAAAGGTCTATCACGCTTCATACGTAATTTAGATTTATTTGCAACATTAGATTGGCTATTTGGAACATTAATTTTGACTGATTATTAGCAATTGGCACATATGATTTAGTCACTATTTTTGGATTCGTAAATATATTTGGTAGTTGGTTGGCTAAACCTTACAAACGAATTAGCTTTTGAATTTCTAATTCAAACTGTTTTGTTTGAGGATCAAAATGAGATAAAGTATATTATTCCAACTTATCTCCTTTTCCAAATACTTATTTTCTCCCCTAAAGTAGGAAAAAGTGATTCATCAAAATGGTAATCAACAAATTGAGCAGTGAATAAATTCTCTATTATTAGCTCAAGGTATTTTATTATAGATGAAGATTCATAGCCAACATATATTCATAACCTTCTTTGAGGACCCATCTTAGTGCGTTGTGGTGGAGCAATGGGAACATACATTGCACATCCATAAATTCTAAGATGAGAAATATTTGGTTGTTGACCAGAAACTAATTGTAAAAGGGAGAACGTATGATAATTTGTTAGCCTAATGCGAATAAGTGTTGCAGCATGCAAGATTACATGTCCCCAAGTAGAAATTGAAAGTTTTTATCTCATTAGTAATGGTCTTGCAATTAATTTTAGACGCTTGATTAATGAGTTAGCAAATTTATTTTGAGTATGTACATGTGCTACAAGATGCTCAATATCAATCCATATAGACATATAATAATTGTTAAAAGCTCGAGATGTAAATTCACCAGCATTATCAAGGGGTATTTTCTTAATTAGATAATCAAGAAAATGAGCTCTTAAACGAATTATTTGTGCAAGTAATATCACAAATGCCTGGTTGCGAGTTGACAACAAACATGTGACCATTTAGTTGATGCATCAATTAAAACTATAAAATATTTAAATGGTTCACATGATGGGTATATTGGTCCACAAATATCACCTTGTATACGTTCCAAAAATATGATATATTCATTTCCAATTTTAGCTGGTGATGATCGACTAATCAATTTTCCTTGGAAACAAGTAACACATGAGAAATTATTAGATTAAAGAATCTGTTGGCTCTTCAATGAAGGTCCATATGAATTTTTAATTATTTTTCGCATCATGATTGATCCAGGATGGCCTAATCATTCATGCCAAATGCAAAAATTATCATGATTTGTAAACTTCTAATTTACAATAATGTGTGTTTCAATTATATTTATATGTGTGTAATATAAACCAGGAAAAAAAAGGTAATTTTTCTAACACACATTTTTTATTTGAGATAATTTTTGTGATATACATGTATTCTTCTTCCTTCATTGTTGTTTCAATATTGTATCCATTTTTGCAAATATCTTTGAAACTTAATAAGTTTCTATGAGACTTAGTGGAGTATAATGCACTAATAATGTGTAATTTTGTTCCACCAAACAACAATATATTAGCTTTACCGGAACCTTTAATAGTATTTGTATTACCAAATATAGTACTCATATTAGCTTGTTGCATTATTAAATGAGAAAAATATTTTTTTTATTTTTTAGAATTGTGTGAGTTATTACCCTATCAACAAGACATATATCTTCATTATTAGTATCGTCCATAAGAACATTCATTATTTTTATTATTATTTATTTACACTGACTATATTAAAATTTAATTTAAATAACAACTATATCAATGAAAGAACTACTATAATACATGATAATTTATTTTAACTATTACTATTTTTTTTATATAGAGAGAAAAAAAGACATTAAATATAAATTAACATATAATGAAAAAAACATAATGACTCAATAATAATAATAATAATAATAATAACTTATTTTTGGACACTTCCATCACCAATGAGATGGTTAATTTTTTCATCAAAATCAGCAAAAAAATCAGCAATATCTAAGTAAGTAACATCCATATGATCATAAATAGAAACATTGTCATCTTCACAAATAAAATTTGTCTCTATCTTTTTTCCTTATTTTTAAGTGATTCTTGATAAATATCAATAACATGCTTTAGTGTACGACAAATACGTGACGAATGACTTTTGCTTTCACAACGATAGCATATATTTTTCATATTTTCGCTATTACCCTTTTTAATTTTTTCACTATTTTTCCACTTCTGCTGTGAAAAAATATATTTCTGATTATCACCACGATCATGTCCATAACCACTACCAAGACCACGATTATTCTTACGTCCACGACCACGACTGTAAGTTTGTGTATAATTACAATAATCACGAGTTGTTACATTCACTTCTGGGAATGGAGCAATACCAGTTGGACGATATTCATGATTTTTCATCAAAAGCTCATTATTTTGTTAAGCCACAAAAAGATAAGAAATTAATTCAGAATATTTTTTGAATCATTTTTTACGATATTGCTGCTGTAGGAGCACATTAGATGCGTGAAAAGTGAAGAATATTTTTTCTAACATATCCTCATCAGTGACCTTTTCTCCATACAATTTTAATTGAGATGTGATTCTAGATAATGTTGAATTATACTCACTAACATTTTTAAAATCTTACAAGCGTAAATGCATTCAATCATAACGAGCTTTTGGTAAAATAATTATTTTTTGATGGTCATATCTGTCTATTAAATTATTCCAAAGCACAAGTGAGTCTTTTATCGTGAGATATTCATTTTTCAAACCTTCATAAAGGTAGTGACGAAGAAAGATCATAGTTTTATCCTTATCTTAATTAGATGCTTTATTTCCTTCTTTAATAGTATTTCCAAGACCTTTTGCATATAAATGAATTTCAGCATCTAATACCCATGATAAGTAATTTTTTCATGTAATATCAAGTGCGACAAATTCAAGGTTCGTAAAATTTGACATATTTAGTACTATCATAAAAATAAAAATAAGTTAGATATCATCTAAATATTATAACGATCAAAAGTAAATAAAAATAAAATTATATATATATATATATATTAAATTACTAGTAAATTTTTTTATAGACACAAATTTATATATATAATAATTAAAATAAATAAGTAATGATATATTTCTATAAAAAAATTAAAATAAAAAAATATCGTACCTTTATTTAAGGATTTTTTTTTTTTGCAAAAGTGTGTAGTAGAGCCTCGTGCTAATAACGTGTTATAAAATAAATATAAAATTATAAAAAAATAAAAAAATAATATAAAAAAAAATTTTAATTTTATTTCACATACCTTAATATAAATAAAATACTTATTTATAGACTTAAATCTACAATTGAAGAATCATATTTCTTTAAATAAGAATTAAATAAAAAAAGTTATAAAATCATAAATTACAATAAATAAATAAAAGTTATGAAAATAGATGTTAATTCATATAATAATTCATGACAAATAAAAATTTTTTAAAAAAAATCCTCAACATTTCTCATTATTCAATAACAAACACTGCATACAGAGATACTAATAATACCCGTTTTGGAGTTAAATGACCGTTTTGCCCCTTTGTTTTTTTCGGGGTTTCTCTTGTTTCAGGGTTTTGCAATTTCACTTGCTCTCATTTCTCGTCATCGCTCTCATGTCGATGTCTGTAGATCGTGAAACTACGTCATTTCGGGATTCTGAAACTCAGAATAATATTCGAAGAATTCTTGAGTCATGCTCCAAAGTAAGATTAATCTATCAATTAATTAGTTTTTTACTGTTATTGTTGATTTTTTAATTTGATTTATGTAGAATTTTGTTTCTTTTTGGATAATAATGCTACCAAATCTTATTAGTATTGATTAGTGAGAAATATGGGGAAAAAAATACTTTAAAAAATGGTTGTGTTGTTATGAGATGAAATGTTATTAACTTGGTGTTAACAGTCATGGTTTGATTGAACCTGGTAGTTGACTGAGGCTGAAGATTTTCTTGAGTCTGAAAACACAGTTACAGAACTTGTCAAGTTCCTTGATTCTTTACTGGATGTTGTTCTGTCTGATCCAGACAATGAACATGCAGAGGACAATGCATTTGAAGCTCTTTCTGAGGTTCATCAATATATCTGTTCTCATTCTCTTCACCAGGTGGGTTAACTTGACATTTCAATCATGTTTCACATCCGGTTTTTAAGTGTTCCATAACATAAAGTTCAAAATAAAATAAAATAAAATAAAACATAGAGAGATATGTAAATAGGTGGCATCTAGCTGTACTTTATATAAGAACCTTTTATGGGTCTAGAACTGGGAGATTAATGATTTTATACAGAAACATATTATTTGGATGACATATTGTTTCAACCTCATGGATTAATGTGGAAGAGAGTTAGAGATAGAGAAAAACTAAGAGTGACTTATTGTTTGTTTGGTGTTGTGACAGGAAGTTGTTGATGCCCTTTCCTTTGAACTGCCAAAGGCTGTTTCAAAGTTTGCAGGGATTTCAAGTAGATTTTTGGACACGGCCATTAGCATCATTGATCAATTTATTGCAAAATGTGGTCCAAGGGATATGCTATCCATTCTCTGTAATGTGAGTTTATGTCTTTGCTGCAAGGGTATATTTTAGTCCTTCAAATATATAGCTGATGTCACCGTAGTCATCCATTAATCAGAGACATTAAATTGGTCATGTATTGATTATTGAATGCCATCAGTTTCCTCCTTTGGGGACCAATTTGATAGCACCTTAAGAACCAATTTGATGGCATAAAATGACAATGAAGGAAAACTTGATGTCTTTCTATTCTAATGGAGGACCAACACTATAACACTAGATTCTTTGAAGACCAAAATGGACATCTTCTGCTTTATTTGATAGATGCTGCTTGTTTGCTATGTCTTTAAATATCAGCTTACTGCTTACCCCTTTGGTAAAGTTAAAGTAGGTCTGCAGGTTGAGTAAATTCATGGTTGCAGTGTGTATTTACAAATGGATTCTGTGGTATTTTTTGTTACGGTGCACCCCCACCTCCCCATCTATTTGGCTATACCATTGACTATTGGATGATTGTTGAACGAATGTCAATGTATAATCCAATTATTCAAAAATCCAGAAGGCACAGGTACCATAGAAACCACCATATTTGCACATATACCTACATCTCATTCCACATGATACATCCTTGGCTTGAGATCCATTTCCTTTCACCTATATGACAATTGACATCCCATCACTTAACCCTCACACCTCTACTCTCCTGTATTCCTCACTTCTTATAATATGCAAAGAACTACAAGTCAGTCCCAGTGTGACATTGAATTTATTTATTTTTGGTTAATATATTGATCATATGCTTTTGTTAATTTAATTGAACAGACATTAGGTTACTCAAGTAAGATGACCAAGGCTGCCAATTACATTGTCCCTCCTTTAACAGGGCTCTCAAAGGGTAATTCATTGCAGTGCACTTTCTAATTAATGGATAGATTATAGAACTTAATCTCTGTTCAATGAAAGAATGATGATAGATGTTACCTTGTTAGCTCACTTCCAAAATCCAATGCAGGACCAGTCCCTTGATTGGATTCATTTTATCAACTTTTTTTGGTCTACTTGAATCTTAGTTGCTCTTAGGCTTGGTATGAAGAAAACCCACTCCTTAGCTGTTACCCTCTCTGGCCTTATAATCCCGGCTCATTTTCTAGCTCACAGCCAGATTTGCATTGAATTTATGATTATATTACATTAACATTGAGAAAATTGAATATGATGTTAATTTTTATTTTTACTTGCCATTAGAGATCTAATAGGTATTTATAATTTTTTTTCACTATTCATACTTGCTGAGCAAATGATAGGATCAATTTAAAAGAGATGTTTTAAAAGGTATAGGTGCTGTCTATTGAATTTTGGTCACATGTCTGAATGCTGGATGAAACTAGAGAAGAATGTCTTTGTCATATTTGAACTATTCTGTTGTGGACAAAATTTTTGGGTTGATAATAGTGATCTGAATCTTGAGTTTAATGGGACTGATAACAGACAAATCTGAGACAAAGTATCTGTTGGGTGATGTGGCATGATATGGACAAGACAGAATTATATTTCTCTCTTTTGGTGGAAAAATCATAATGGTTTTGGATGATATTGAAGTAGTTTTAGGATTTTGAATGATGAGAGCGCATTGATGAAATCAAGTTTCTTATTCTGAGAGGAATAAAGAATTCAAATTTTAAGACTGGAATTTTATATTTATTCACAAATAAAATAAATTTTCTTAATTATAAGGTCCTTAGCAGCTTGGCTGCCAATTGTGTTGCAGATTTTGGGCTCATTTTTTTCAGCACAAAGAATAATGGAGAATTTGTCTTACCACTTAAGCTATTATGTTAAAGTTGATGATTATCATTGTTAATGAAATGAAAAATAATATGCTAGTTCACCTTGTCTTTGTCAATGATTTGAGGCCACATTCTGAAGCTTTTGTTCATGCTTATTTTATTTTGCCTTTTCAGTCTTTATTTCCATTCGAAGGCGCCAGTTTGAGCAAGTAAAAGAAGCCGTTCCTATTATTCTTAATGTATTGAAGGCTGTGTCTTTGGAGTCAGAAGAAGAACTTGAGAATGTATTTGACAGAGCTGTTGAGATTGCAAATTCTATATATGAAGTTTTCATTAAGTTGGTCTGTCAATTTTAAAATAATCATCTTTTTCTTTATTAGAGAAGCTTAATTTAGTGATTTATTTTCAATTCTTTTGCTGACTTTTTTTTTTTTTTGCTGCATTTTTCCAGCAGGAGAGGGATCCAAAGGAGAAGCTCCAAGCTCTTCTTGGTCTGTATGTCCTGCAATGCTTGGTAGATATCTCTGTACTGCATTAAAAAAATTATAATTATGCTTATTTTTTGTATTTCTTTCCCAACTACCCTTTAGTAAATTTTTTTACTTCTGATAGAGTTTTATCCATTTAATATGACGTTACCGTGCACTGTCCAGGCTCTTGTTTCAACCAGCATAAGCTTTAAAGCTCCCAGTTGCCATTCATTGGTATTACGACTGTCACAAATTTCTTCATATTGTGGTTTATCATATCTCAGTCTACTAACAACTTATAATGTTGAGATTGTAGCTGGCTCCATTTTTGTAGGTAGTATTCTTAAGTTACTGTGTGTCTGCTGTTAATTTATTTCAATGCTAATGTAAGCACTATTTATGCTGCTTGCTTAATGTTTTTCTTTTCTACCCTCAATTACTCAGAAGATGAAGATGACTATATGGGTTGTTTATCTCATGTCAAACATGGTGCTGCTCTTTCAGGTCTGTGATTGGACAATTACTGTAATTGTATCCTTTCCTTTTCTTTTATGCATTTCCCTTTCACTAATCCATCAAATTCCGTCGGTTTTTTTCTTCAGTGGTTTGGGGGCATGTCTCAGAGGAGGTTGCTCTTACTGCAAAAGAGGATTTGATTGCCTTAAAGGATGAACTTCGTAATATCCAGATCAAAAGATGGCAAGCCATAGGAACATTAAAGCATGTCCTTTCGTTTGTAAATCTTCCTTGGGAGTTAAAGAAACATGCTATTGACTTCTTGCTTTGCATCACGGATGGAGGGGTCTCTAGAAACTACAACGATGAACTGTCTGAGTGGTCATCTTGTATGCCAAGTCTTTTCTCAGCTTTGCAGGTTGTGTTCCTTGCAATTTGTGACTTCAGTTTGTTTGTCAGCAAGCTTTTACTTCCACAATGAAGAAAAATGCTGATATGTTCTTATCTTGTGGTTATCTTTCAGGCTGTTAAAATGGTTATCATGTCTGCCCCAGACCCAGAACTAAGAAAAAAATCCTTTGCTGTGCTAAAAGGAGTGAGTTTCTAATCTAGCCCAATGCCTTGAAGTTGAAAGTTCTTTGTAATTTGTGTTCAATATGAAATGTGTATTCTCTGAAATTGAGATACATATATGATGTTTGTTAAACTACTTAATAGGGCAAAGTTTTCTAGAGATTTTTAATGATCCTGTGCTCATGTTACTCAAACTAGGTACTCGCTGATATTCCAATTTCTCAAAGATTTGACATTTTGAAAGCATTGATTACTAACACTGACTCTTCCTCCATGGTAATCCTCTTAATCAGAATTGCTTAACTTTGTTCTCTATTGATGTTAAATCATCTAATGGTCTTTCATCTCTGTATAGATTGCCATTTTCATCGATCTTGTCAGGAGGGAAATGCACACAGAAATCTGCAGTAGTAGATCAATAGTTAAAAATGTCCCAGAGATAGATAACAAAGCATATCCAGATATGTCATTTTGGACTCCCAGTGTCCTTGAGTTGGTGGAGTTGGTTCTAAGACCTCCACAGGGGGGACCTCCTTCCCTCCCTGAGCAGAGTGACGCGGTATTATTCCTGTTTCAAGTGATCTCTGTAAATTATATTATCCTGGCATCTTTTTAAGTGCATCTATCTGAAGAAACATTCGGCAATATTTGCATTTTGGGTTTTAAGTCTTTTCTTATAATCTACAGGTGTTGTCAGCCCTCAACCTATACAGATTTGTATTGATGACAGAATCTACAGGTATGAAGCGTCAATTGTCAATTAAACCAATAAATAAAGGGGCAAATTACAGAAATATATTATATCCAATTTCAAGGAATGGCTGATGAGTAACAAATTTGAGTTATTAACCACTTGAATTGTTAATTCTACCTAAACAGAAATATATTCTAATTTTACCTGAAAATTTTGAGTTTATATTGCATTTTTTTGTTGTGGTGGTTTCCAAACATAATCCAAAGTAAAGTCTAATTAGGAAGGTTTCTCAATTATGGGTAACAGGAAAAACAAACTACACTGGAGTCCTGTCAAGGAGCAGTTTACTGAAGGCTTACAATGAATGGTTGCTTCCTTTGCGTACCTTAGTGACAGGCATTATGGCAGAGAACAAGATTGATTATGATGAGCTTTCAGTTGACACTGTATGCATCCTAAATCCACTTGAGTTGGTGTTGTACCGCTGCATTGAACTTGCAGAAGAGAAGCTAAAGCAATCCACATAAGTTGTCTCGTTAGCCAAAGTTTCATGAAATATTCCTTTTTTAGGTTCATGACATTTTGTTTCAATAGTAATGCTCTTTGCAGATAGAAAGGAAAGATGAGCACAAAGGATTTTTAATGCTACTGGGCCCATCATAGATTCGTTTAGTAAAACGTTCAAAAAATCTGTTATGAACATTAAAGTGAGATAATAAAAAGTTATATTTTTTTATATATAGTTTTCAGATACATATATGAAGTAAGAGATAAAAATAATTATGTACAATATTATTTAAAATGTCAAATTTTTTATGTTACTGTAATGAAACTCGCTTACCTCCTACTTAAGTTATTTTGCTTGTAACTTTTTTTCTTGATGTGTCCAATGCTTAAATTGATTATTAATACCAATAAAGAAAATTTTGTTTATTTTACATAACCAACTTTATATTTTATATTATATCCGTTTAAAAAATTAGTCTCTTTATTAATGTAAAGTGATTAAGTTGATAATTGACGAGAAAAATGAATAAAATGTAAAATTTAAATAAATAAAAGTGAGACACATTTTTCTTATAACAAAAAATATATATATGAACTGCCTTTAGAGCGAACAAGTGTTATTGTTAAATAATGATTTTGTTTTCCCAAAAGGTACATAAGGCCTAAGCAATTTATTGTCAAAGTTATATAGGAAAAAACTACCCAATTTTCATGAATAAATATTCTGATATTTAGTTTCATTTTAATTGCTCTTTAAATTTCAGGTTTTACAAATAAATGCCTTAGATTTTAATTATTTCTTAAATTTTATTTTATTTTTTCTTACAAATGGACACCTTAACTTTAATTTTGTCTTAAACTTTATTTTTTTATTAATAGCTCAGTCTGTTAAGTTGGATTTAAATTATGATTGGAGAGGAAGTTCTAACTGTTTATTTACCTTAAGTTTCTGCTAATTATTATTTTTTGTTGTAATTCATTTTTCAAAATAATAAAACAATTAAATTTTAAATCAAGAAAAATTTAAAAAAATTTAAAATCAATAAAAACATATTTATTAATATCTAATTCTCAATTTTATTAAGTTTTAATGTTGAAAAAATTAATTTATAAAAGTAAAGCAAATAAACAACAACGATTGAGATTTTTTTTATTGGTAATTCAATTCCAACTTAATAGAAGAAGTTGTTTAGTAAAGAATAAATTTTAAAGATAATCAAGATAAAGTTAAATTTTGAAATACATACACATATATAATAAATTTTAAGAAAGATTCAAATTGATTTTTTGAGTAAATTATTCTGTTAAATGAATTTCTCCACTTTTTAATTGTCATTGGCAGTCAAAAACTGTAAAACCCTTCTCCTAACATGATTGAACTAGAATAAAGATCCTCAATGGACAACGAGGATTGTTCCTTGTACAACATTTATTTTTAGGAATTAAGTGTATTTTTATATTATTTATTGATGTTAGATCTTGATTTTCACTCATTTGTTTCTCATTTTATTGTAGAGGTAATAGATTAGGGTAGACAATGGAGTTATAATAATAAAAAGAGCAAAATTCAGTTTGAATTAGAGAGATGATTTTCAAGGTTTCTATGATACATTTGAGCAATTTTTTTAAACTTGTGCATGTGCATAACCGTGAAACCTTCAACAAACCCCAATGCTTGCACTCTTAATTGTCTTTTGTTTCTTTTTAAATATTCGTGTAACCATTAAGCTCAACATTGCAAGTAAGAATAGATTTGATTGGGTGCTTAAACAAAATTAGCCACATTGAGTAGAATAATACTTACAAATTTTTATGGTATGAACATGGATACTATAACTTATAACAACTTAGTTTTGTTAATTGTCATTCCCAAACTACAATTAAGAAATAATAATGAGTGAAAACGAAGATCAAAATTATTGTTCATATAAGTATTGAAATAAGTATGGATATCCTACTTTTGGAGAGTAGAGGTGTTCATTTTGTTAGTCCCACATCGTGTGGGATAGAAAAAGGTAGAACCCCTCTTAGCTTATAAATAAAGCCTTGGGGTCTCCCTTTCAATTATTCCAAAAACTCCTTCTTCTTCTCCTCTTTTCTTTATTTTACCTTGAGATCTTATTCTCAGTAATAGTAGTACTCTGAGTTAGGAGTAATAGTAGTACTCTGAGTTAGGAGTGGTGTAATTTTCTTCTTTAGTAAAGTTGCAGGCTCTAGTTGCAATATTGTTTGATCTGCCATAGTGCATATCTAGTGTGTACTTGTTTACAGTCTATCATCATTATTATTCTAGGTAGTACTATTCACAGTGAAATTGCATCGCTATAATTAAGAGAGAAATTGCTCTAGTTGCAATATTGTTTGATCTGCCATAGTGCATATCTAGTGTGTACTTGTTTACAGTCTATCATCATTATTATTCTAGGTAGTACTATTTACAGTGAAATTGCATCGCTATAATTAAGAGAGAAATTATGGCAGCAAAATATGATATAGAGAAGTTTAATGGGAGTAATTTCTCCTTGTGAAAATTAAAGATAAGAGCAATTTTGAGAAAAGACAATTATCTTGATGCTATAATTAAGAGAGAAATTATGGCAGCAAAATATGATATAGAGAAGTTTAATGGGAGTAATTTCTCCTTGTGAAAATTAAAGATAAGAGTAATTTTGAGGAAAGACAATTATCTTGATGCAATTGAAGGCAAACCTGCAGATATTTTAGAAGAAAAATGGAGAGAAATAGATAACAATGTTGTTGTCAATTTGCATTTAGCATTGGAAGACTTAGTGTTATCTAGTGTTGCAGAGAAGAAGAGTGCAAAGGAGATTTGGGATACTCTGATCAAGTTGTACGAGATCAAGTGACTACATACTAAAATATTCTTAAAGAGAAAACTCTACAATCTTCGAATAAGTGAGTTCACATTAGTACCAGACCACATCAATAATCTGAATACGTTGTTCGCTCAGCTTACAGCTTTAGATTTTAACATAGTAGAAAATGAACGTGCAGAGCTTCTAGTCCAAAGTTTACCAGATTCATACAATCAACTCATTATCAATATAACAAACAACAACATTATCGGTCGATAATGTTACCAGAGCAGTTCTGGAAGAAGAATCCAGGCAAAAGAATAAGGAAGATAGAATGGACAATTCTAAACAAGCAGAAGTATTGACAATGATGAGAGGAGATTGATAGAACCTGGCCTCAATGGGAGTCAAAATCATGGTAGAATGAAATCTCGAAGAAGGAAGAACCTCAAATGCTACAATTGTGGCATGAGAAGGCACATGAAGAAAGATTGTTGGCACAAGAAGAGTGGAGGAAATAAAAACTCTAAAGCATCAGCCTCTCAAGGTTGTATTGCAAGTACCTCAGATGATGGTGAAATCTTATATAGTGAAGCAGAAATAAATTCTAGAAGTGGAAGACAACTCCATGAATGTTGGATATTGGATTCAGGTGCAACCTGACACATGACTCTATGTCGAGACTGATTTTGTACTTATGAACCTATCTCAGGAGGATCTGTATTCATAGAAAATGATCAAGTCTTAGAAATTGCTAAAGTCGGTACTATCAAATTGAAAATGTATGATAGTACTGTTCGAACAATTCAAGAAGTACGACATGTGAAGGGCTTGAAAAAGAATCTATTGTCCACTGGACAATTGGATGACCTCAAGTGCAAGATCCACATTGAAGGTGGAATCTTAAAGATAGTTAAAGGCAATTTGATATTCATGAATGCAGGAAAAATTCACAACCAATTTATACATGCTTTTAGGAGATACGTTGCAAGAAACAGGTGCATCAGTTGCAACAAGTCAAGAAGAGGAAACAATGATGTGGCATCGTAGACTTGGTCATATGTCAGAACGAGGCCTGAAAATTCTTGCAAAACATAATCTCTTGCCAGGACTCAAAATAGTAACCTTACCATTTTGTGAGCACTATGTGACAAGCAAGCAACATAGATTGAAGTTTGCCAGAGTGACCACAAAAAGCAAACATATACTGGACTTGATTCATTCTGATGTATGGGAATCATCGGAAGTATCTATTAGAGGAGCAAAATATTTTTTATCATGATTACTCTGGGAGATTGTGGGTGTACCCAACCAAGAAGAAGTCGGATGTGTTTCTAGTATTTAAGGAATTCAAAGCACTAGAAGAACTTGAAACTGAGAAAAGAATAAAGTGCTTAAGAACAGACAATGGAGTAGAATATGTAGATGGTGATTTTCTAGCATTTTGCAAGCAAGAGGGTATCTCAAGGCAATTCACAGTACTCTATACCCCCTAGCAGAATGGCGTAGCAGAGCGGATGAATAGGACTCTCCTAGATAAAACAAGGGCTATGCTGAGAACATCAAGAGTGGTCAAATCTTTCTAGGCAGAAGTAGTTAAAACTGCCTGTTACGCGATTAATCGATCACCATCAGCAATAATCAGTTTAAAGATACCAATGGAGATATGGAATGGAAAGTCACCTAATTATTCTTCATTACATGTCTTTGGATGTCCTGTGTACGTGATGTATAAGAACAAAGCTGTATCCAAAATTCAAGAAATGTATATTCTTGGGTTATATTAACAATGTTAAGGGGTATCGCTTGTGGGATCCCACTATCCGCAAGCTTGTTATTAGCAGAGATGTAATCTTTACAGAAAATGAACTGCAAAAGGAGCAGAAAAATGACAGTACTATCAAAGACACTACTTCAGTAGTGATAGAAAGGAAGTCTAAAGAAAATGACGCTTCAGAAGCAGAACAAGAGCATGAAGAATAAGAACTAAATGATGCCAATGATGGAGAAGCTCAACAAACAAGACATGAGATAAGGAGACCATCTTGGCACTTAGACAATGTCATGGCAAGTCACGATGCATATTGTCTTTTAACCGAAGAAGGAGAACCATCAATCTTTCATGAGGCTTTGAGTTTAGATTTGCTTCTTTATGGATGACAGTAATAAGCCTAACATAGAGACAAGACATGGGAACTTGTTGAGCTTCCAAAAGGTAGAAAAGTCATTGGTTGTATATGAGTCTACAAAATCAAACGAGATGGCAATGATCAAGTGGAGCGATATCATGCAA